GTAAAGTAGTCAAAAATGAATGAATTTTTAATAAAGGTCAACTTCAAAATTTTTCAAATACGCAAAATATGTCCCTTAAGCAAATGTATGGGGAGGATATAAAATTGAGAGGTATAGTTTGATTTTATACTCCCAAAAAGTGACATATTTTCTCTGATCAGATTATCTAATGTTAAATAGTTATTTTAGTAGTTTAAAAAAGTTTTAAGAGATATCCACCTTAAAAGTGGGTATGTTCCTTCCTTAGATGCTGTCAATCACATGAATTCAAAACTTTTTTTGCTCAAATATCAAAAAATAAAACTTAATTATTTCAGTAGTAACACTATCATTTATGATTAACATCTTATTTACAAAAGTATAAACGATATTTAACATGTTAATTATGAACATATTTTCATAAATTAAATCTGAACCAAATATTCAATATAAAGTTAACGATTTCAATACAAATTCAGCAATAATTATCGATTTAAACAATAGTTACAATATTTACAATCAATTTCGTTCATTTTTAAAATATTTTATTTCAATTGTTTTTATTTTTTAGCAAATCAAACTGGGATAATTTTTTCGCTGGTTCACAACCTACTGATTACAAAAATAATGCCCCTATTTCTAATCAACAAGGCAATTTTAATGTTCATGAAGTTTTCTTTACGAATCATGACACAGAAATTATTCATCTCTCAGATGATGATAAATATAATAAACTTCTTGTATCTGAGTGCGTTTTTAATTGCACAAAAGGTGGTAATATTTATCAAAATAAAGGTCAAGTTGTTCAATATCGAGTCTGCAGTATCAATCCAATCAAGCACATTGATTTTGAAGATCCGCATTCTTATTCCACAGCGCCACATTCATACATTTTTGTAACCCAAAGTAGAACATACAAAAATTATTTAATTGAATCAACAATAACTAGAAGCGATGGATCTTTAGGACCAATTATTCATCAATACGGAAGAAATATTATTAAAAATGTAAATATTTCTAATTCACTAACAAGAATTAATTCGGTCTACACTATTTCAGGAAATTCTGATTTAAATGCAAATGTTTCATATTCAACATTTATTAAAAATACAGCTGTACAAAACAATTGCTTATCACATTATGCATATGGCGCTAAGATTCACCATTGCAATATTATTTCAAATGAATGTAGTCAATCCCAAAATAATGCAGTTATTTCTGCATCTGATAATGTCAATATTTTAATTATAGAATGTATTATAATATTCAACACAGGAAATTATTTATTTTATTCAGATTATGATGCTTCAATTGCAGTTTCTTCTTGTTTCATCCAATTAAACTATAATTATCAATTAAATAATTCGGAAAATGTTGAAATATCAACAATTGATTCACTAAATATTGAAAATTCACATATATCCACAGCTCTTTGTTATCCGGCTTTTCCAATGTTTAATTTGATGAATATTACAACAGATAAAGCAAAATACAAATTTGGAGAAGATTCAACTATAACAGGAAAAATTTCATTTGATCGAATTAAAGAAGAATCATTCACACTTAAAGTTTGGATTGGCAACCATGATCCATATCAAATACTAAATAAAGAAAGTGGATCTTCAACATATGAATATTCAATAGATACCCTCTATTATTTCTCCACTGGAAATTATATTATTTCATCCAGTGTTATTAATACAAATGGTATTGAATCAAATACAGTTTCAGTTGAATTTGAATATGAAGTTTCATTTTTTCTTAATTTAGAAGATCTTGAAAGAAAAGAATACAACAAAACACTTGATAAAAATATTACAGTCCGAGGAAGTGGAATTTACTCACATGGTGATATTTCTATTAACTGCAGTATTGGAGATGTAAATAGTACATTCATTGGAAATATTAATAAGAAATGGATTACACATCAATTTAATTTGTCAGGTGTTTGTTTGATTCCAGATTCTATTGTAGAAGAAAAAAACTATTCAGTTACAGTTTGGGCAACTTATATAGATAGTGGAGTAAGTACAGAGTCAATAACAAAAGAATTCGAATTTTATCGAAATTATCCAGTTCTAAGAATATCAGATTCAATCAAAGAAACATATTATCACAATGTTGACAAATTCATTTCAGTTTCAGGATTTGTTTCAGATTATGATTGTGATGATGAAATTGAAATCAAAGGATATATTGAAGGATATTCAAATAGTCAAACATCACAAAATATTTATATTCCAGATTTAAATAATCATTTATTCGAAATTAATATCCCTATTCCTGACAACCTTACAACTGTTGAACATAATCTTCTTATTACATGTTGTGACAATGTTAATAAATGTGATTCATTTAACAAAACGTTTTCTTACGAACTAAATAAACCAGAAATTAGTATTGTTAAATCACCAACATTCCCTGTTTATATTAACAAAGATAAAAATCTTGAATTTGTTCTTTCTGTTTCAGACAAAGATGGAAACAGTAACATCAGAATTTTTCACATTCTCAACGACACTGCAGGAAACAATGTCAACATAAGCTTTTCTAATGATCTTCCAGTTGATGTTGAATATTCAATTCCTATTCCAGATGATATCGATGTTGGTGTTTGTCAACTATGTATCTATGCAGTAGATGAGCATAATCTCTATTCAAAGAATATTTATCTCGATGTAGTATTTTCAAAATTCACATATGATGAAATTAATGAAGATCAAAATCATAAAAAACGCAAAAAGAAACCAATTAAATATTCACCATTCTTTTTTGTTCTCGCACAGAAAGTTTCATAAACATTTCTAATTACAACAAATTAATAATGAATTAATAAATTATATGAAAAAAAATATAAATTATCTGATAATATCAATCAAAGTTCGCTTTGCAGATGAATTATCATAAAATAACAAAATCTATTTTTAACATTTGATAAGAATATTGTTTCGATTTTTGAAAATATTTTAAGTCTATTATCAAATGTTTCTTTTAACCTTGAAATATTGATATGTGTAATTCATTTCAATGAAGGCTTAGCGTACACTTTATAATGTTTATTCATCGAAAATGTTTATCCTTGGAGATCGTAATATTAATATTTTAAATTCTTTATATCAAAAAATAATGATAGAATTTAATAAAAAAGGGTCAAATTATATTTCAAATTTTTAATGGAATTTGAAAGGATATAAAATCGATTCAATTCTATTCAATTTTCATGATCCAATTCTGATTCAGTCTGATTTGGTCATTAAAATGCAAATAAATGGTTAATAATCCTTTATTTTAGAAGTTTAGTATTGTTTAAGTATCTTTCCATTTTTAACTGCAAAGAAAATTTGATAAAAAAAGTGGATCTGTTTTAGACTATTTTTAATGGGAAAATCAGCAAACAATATAATTTTAATGTTATCTGAAATCATTAGAATTTGAATGAATGTAATTTAACTTTTATTCAATTTTCTTGATCCAATTTCAAAAGTATTGCCCAAATTGCAAAAGAATTGCCCAAACCGACATGCTTATTCCCTTACTTGATTATTCTAAATTCAATATGCGGATTATTTGTGTATTTAAAAATCAATCCGTGTAAAGTAGTCAAAAATGAATGAATTTTTAATAAAGGTCAACTTCAAAATTTTTCAAATACGCAAAATATGTCCCTTAAGCAAATGTATGGGGAGGATATAAAATTGAGAGGTATAGTTTGATTTTATACTCCCAAAAAGTGACATATTTTCTCTGATCAGATTATCTAATGTTAAATAGTTATTTTAGTAGTTTAAAAAAGTTTTAAGAGATATCCACCTTAAAAGTGGGTATGTTCCTTCCTTAGATGCTGTCAATCACATGAATTCAAAACTTTTTTTGCTCAAATATCAAAAAATAAAACTTAATTATTTCAGTAGTAACACTATCATTTATGATTAACATCTTATTTACAAAAGTATAAACGATATTTAACATGTTAATTATGAACATATTTTCATAAATTAAATCTGAACCAAATATTCAATATAAAGTTAACGATTTCAATACAAATTCAGCAATAATTATCGATTTAAACAATAGTTACAATATTTACAATCAATTTCGTTCATTTTTAAAATATTTTATTTCAATTGTTTTTATTTTTTAGCAAATCAAACTGGGATAATTTTTTCGCTGGTTCACAACCTACTGATTACAAAAATAATGCCCCTATTTCTAATCAACAAGGCAATTTTAATGTTCATGAAGTTTTCTTTACGAATCATGACACAGAAATTATTCATCTCTCAGATGATGATAAATATAATAAACTTCTTGTATCTGAGTGCGTTTTTAATTGCACAAAAGGTGGTAATATTTATCAAAATAAAGGTCAAGTTGTTCAATATCGAGTCTGCAGTATCAATCCAATCAAGCACATTGATTTTGAAGATCCGCATTCTTATTCCACAGCGCCACATTCATACATTTTTGTAACCCAAAGTAGAACATACAAAAATTATTTAATTGAATCAACAATAACTAGAAGCGATGGATCTTTAGGACCAATTATTCATCAATACGGAAGAAATATTATTAAAAATGTAAATATTTCTAATTCACTAACAAGAATTAATTCGGTCTACACTATTTCAGGAAATTCTGATTTAAATGCAAATGTTTCATATTCAACATTTATTAAAAATACAGCTGTACAAAACAATTGCTTATCACATTATGCATATGGCGCTAAGATTCACCATTGCAATATTATTTCAAATGAATGTAGTCAATCCCAAAATAATGCAGTTATTTCTGCATCTGATAATGTCAATATTTTAATTATAGAATGTATTATAATATTCAACACAGGAAATTATTTATTTTATTCAGATTATGATGCTTCAATTGCAGTTTCTTCTTGTTTCATCCAATTAAACTATAATTATCAATTAAATAATTCGGAAAATGTTGAAATATCAACAATTGATTCACTAAATATTGAAAATTCACATATATCCACAGCTCTTTGTTATCCGGCTTTTCCAATGTTTAATTTGATGAATATTACAACAGATAAAGCAAAATACAAATTTGGAGAAGATTCAACTATAACAGGAAAAATTTCATTTGATCGAATTAAAGAAGAATCATTCACACTTAAAGTTTGGATTGGCAACCATGATCCATATCAAATACTAAATAAAGAAAGTGGATCTTCAACATATGAATATTCAATAGATACCCTCTATTATTTCTCCACTGGAAATTATATTATTTCATCCAGTGTTATTAATACAAATGGTATTGAATCAAATACAGTTTCAGTTGAATTTGAATATGAAGTTTCATTTTTTCTTAATTTAGAAGATCTTGAAAGAAAAGAATACAACAAAACACTTGATAAAAATATTACAGTCCGAGGAAGTGGAATTTACTCACATGGTGATATTTCTATTAACTGCAGTATTGGAGATGTAAATAGTACATTCATTGGAAATATTAATAAGAAATGGATTACACATCAATTTAATTTGTCAGGTGTTTGTTTGATTCCAGATTCTATTGTAGAAGAAAAAAACTATTCAGTTACAGTTTGGGCAACTTATATAGATAGTGGAGTAAGTACAGAGTCAATAACAAAAGAATTCGAATTTTATCGAAATTATCCAGTTCTAAGAATATCAGATTCAATCAAAGAAACATATTATCACAATGTTGACAAATTCATTTCAGTTTCAGGATTTGTTTCAGATTATGATTGTGATGATGAAATTGAAATCAAAGGATATATTGAAGGATATTCAAATAGTCAAACATCACAAAATATTTATATTCCAGATTTAAATAATCATTTATTCGAAATTAATATCCCTATTCCTGACAACCTTACAACTGTTGAACATAATCTTCTTATTACATGTTGTGACAATGTTAATAAATGTGATTCATTTAACAAAACGTTTTCTTACGAACTAAATAAACCAGAAATTAGTATTGTTAAATCACCAACATTCCCTGTTTATATTAACAAAGATAAAAATCTTGAATTTGTTCTTTCTGTTTCAGACAAAGATGGAAACAGTAACATCAGAATTTTTCACATTCTCAACGACACTGAAGGAAACAATATCAACATCAGTCTTTATGATGAGATTACAAAAGAAGTTCCATATCCAATTCCTATTCCAGATGATATCGATGTAGGTGAATGTCAACTTTCTTTTTATGCAGTAGATGAATATACACTTATTTCAAATATAGAAGACATTAATGTAACATTTTCAAAATATACATATGATGAATCTATCGAAGATCAAAACCATAAAAAACTAAATAAAAAACCAATCAAATATTCACCATTCTTTTTTGTTCCCCTTCATGAGTTTTATAAACATTTCTACTTTAATCGCAATAAATTAAAAACAGCAGCTTGAATAGTTTTGATACTTTGTTTATCAGTAAGTATACTTAATATAAGGACGCCAAAAAAAGTGCGGAAATTAAAAACCGCAGTTTGAGCACTTTCTGAGAGTCTGTTTGTCAGAAAGTATACGTTTGTAAACTTTCTGACACTAAATTTTTTTGGTCATTTCAAAGTTTTTGACAATGTCAAAAAGTATACATCGGGGCTCTCAATTTTCTTCTCAAAAGGCAGTTTTTTAAAAAAACGCTCAATTTTTCATCGACCTTATATAAAATTCCTAACATTGTGGATCCCATACTAAAATAACACACTTTTTGCAACTTTGTGAAAGAATTAATCTGTTAAATGTTGCTCATTTTTCTAGGTCCCACATTTTCTTGAGGGTCCTGGGTATTATTTAAAATAGTTGTCCATAGAAACACTTATATTTGAAACATTGCATAAGATGAATTTTTGGGGAATTTTGAATAGGTTACAAAATTTACAATCGGTTTTATATCGTTCTATTATCAAAATCAAACACACTCTTCAAAAATTGAATTAAAGACCGTCAGGACCCGTCATATTTCCTGGACCCAGAAAAATGTGCTAATATTTATTTCTCTCTCAGTAAAATATCTAAATGTGTTACATATTAAGTTCTGTCAAAATGTAAGCTATTGAATTTTTTGAGAGGGGAATAATCATCGAGGAAGTAAAAAGTGACGCTTTAGGAAATATTATTAGAAATATGATAATAAATATATTTGGAAAAAATATGTTTTTTTTCAAAAATTGAAATGTTCATAGAATATTTTGAAATATGTAGGGAATTAAATTCGGTAATATATGATAAACAGGATTTTTAAATTTCAAGGAAAAATAGCTTTTGTGAATACTTTTGAGAACTCTTCTCAAAGATCATGATTCAAATATATTAAGGAGCCAAAATATTAGAGATGAGTTCACAATCAAAATTTTCTCACTTTTCTTCCAAATTGACATCCTTACTTGTTATAGACCGAAAATAGATTTTTTCGGTTTTCTCTTCAAATAATTGAAAGAATGATACTATTATAGGTTTATTATATTATATAGCATATAATCATGCTATAGCCGAAAATTATAAGTTTTGAGAAGATTGAATATAACACAAATAAATTTGAATGTAAGTTAAATTGCTTGTTGTTTTTAATAGCTATTTAATGAGAAATCCAATATTGCAAAATTCAAATTGAATGATTGAAAGAACAGAAAAAGTCATTCTTTTCAATTTCGAATATGTTTCATTGTATTTATAATTATATGGCAAATAAGATATTTAAACTTGATTTTTGAAGGAAAATTCACAAAATTGAATGAATTCAAATAATTTTTATTCAAAAATAAACCAGTTATTTGAGTTTAATACTAATTATCTATTCAAACTACAAAGTTTGTAATTTAAAATATTTTGTGAGATCAGATTGAATTAATTCAAGGTTCTTTTCAATTAATATTCATGACCATATTACGCATTTTCGAACATTCTAAACCAAATATATAAAAATGGGAGACGAATGTTAAATTTGCTAGACATGGGGAGTTGTCTGCAAAGTTTTAGCTCTTATCTCTAACAAAAAATTAATTTTTAAAAAAATGACCGAATACGTTTCACAGCGAGAAAAAAATAAAAGGCAAGATAGAATTTTCTAGACATAAAGAAGTTGTTTACCGAGTTTTAGCTCTTATCTCTAACAAAAAATTAATTTTTTAAAAAATGACCGAATACGTTTCACAGCGAGAAAAAAATAAAAGGCAAGATAGAATTTTCTAGACATAAAGAAGTTGTTTACCGAGTTTTAGCTCTTATCTCTAACAAAAAATTAATTTTTAAAAAAATGACCGAATACGTTTCACAGCGAGAAAAAAAATAAAAGGCAAGATAGAATTTTCTAGACATAAAGAAGTTGTTTACCGAGTTTTAGCTCTTATCTCTAACAAAAAATTAATTTTTAAAAAAAAGACCGAATACGTTTCACAGCGAGAAAAAATAAAAGGCAAGATAGAATTTTCTAGACATAAAGAAGTTGTTTACCGAGTTTTAGCTCTTATCTCTAACAAAAAATTAATTTTTAAAAAAATGACCGAATACGTTTCACAGCGAGAAAAAAATAAAAGGCAAGATAGAATTTTCTAGACATAAAGAAGTTGTTTACCGAGTTTTAGCTCTTATCTCTAACAAAAAATTAATTTTTAAAAAAATGACCGAATACGTTTCACAGCGAGAAAAAATAAAAGGCAAGATAGAATTTTCTAGACATAAAGAAGTTGTTTACCGAGTTTTAGCTCTTATCTCTAACAAAAAATTAATTTTTAAAAAAATGACCGAATACGTTTCACAGCGAGAAAAAAATAAAAGGCAAGATAGAATTTTCTAGACATAAAGAAGTTGTTTACCGAGTTTTAGCTCTTATCTCTAACAAAAAATTAATTTTTAAAAAAATGACCGAATACGTTTCACAGCGAGAAAAAAATAAAAGGCAAGATAGAATTTTCTAGACATAAAGAAGTTGTTTACCGAGTTTTAGCTCTTATCTCTAACAAAAAATTAATTTTTAAAAAAAATGACCGAATACGTTTCACAGCGAGAAAAAAATAAAAGGCAAGATAGAATTTTCTAGACATAAAGAAGTTGTTTACCGAGTTTTAGCTCTTATCTCTAACAAAAAATTAATTTTTAAAAAAATGACCGAATACGTTTCACAGCGAGAAAAAAATAAAAGGCAAGATAGAATTTTCTAGACATAAAGAAGTTGTTTACCGAGTTTTAGCTCTTATCTCTAACAAAAAATTAATTTTTAAAAAAATGACCGAATACGTTTCACAGCGAGAAAAAATAAAAAGGCAAGATAGAATTTTCTAGACATAAAGAAGTTGTTTACCGAGTTTTAGCTCTTATCTCTAACAAAAAATTAATTTTTAAAAAAATGACCGAATACGTTTCACAGCGAGAAAAAATAAAAGGCAAGGTAGAATTTTCTAGACATAAAGAAGTTGTTTACCGAGTTTTAGCTCTTATCTCTAACAAAAAATTAATTTTTAAAAAAATGACCGAATACGTTTCACAGCGAGAAAAAATAAAAGGCAAGATAGAATTTTCTAGACATAAAGAAGTTGTTTACCGAGTTTTAGCTCTTATCTCTAACAAAAAATTAATTTTTAAAAAAATGACCGAATACGTTTCACAGCGAGAAAAAAATAAAAGGCAAGATAGAATTTTCTAGACATAAAGAAGTTGTTTACCGAGTTTTAGCTCTTATCTCTAACAAAAAATTAATTTTTAAAAAAATGACCGAATACGTTTCACAGCGAGAAAAAAATAAAGGCAAGATAGAATTTTCTAGACATAAAGAAGTTGTTTACCGAGTTTTAGCTCTTATCTCTAACAAAAAATTAATTTTTAAAAAAATGACCGAATACGTTTCACAGCGAGAAAAAAATAAAAGGCAAGATAGAATTTTCTAGACATAAAGAAGTTGTTTACCGAGTTTTAGCTCTTATCTCTAACAAAAAATTAATTTTTAAAAAAATGACCGAATACGTTTCACAGCGAGAAAAAAATAAAAGGCAAGATAGAATTTTCTAGACATAAAGAAGTTGTTTACGAGTTTTAGCTCTTATCTCTAACAAAAAATTAATTTTAAAAAATGGACCGAATACGTTTCACAGCGAGAAAAAAATAAAAGGCAAGATAGAATTTTCTAGACATAAAGAAGTTGTTTACCGAGTTTTAGCTCTTATCTCTAACCAAAAAATTAATTTTTAAAAAAAAGACCGAATACGTTTCACAGCGAGAAAAAATAAAAGGCAAGATAGAATTTTCTAGACATAAAGAAGTTGTTTACCGAGTTTTAGCTCTTATCTCTAACAAAAAATTAATTTTTTAAAAAAAAGACCGAATACGTTTCACAGCGAGAAAAAAATAAAGGCAAGATAGAATTTTCTAGACATAAAGAAGTTGTTTACCGAGTTTTAGCTCTTATCTCTAACAAAAAATTAATTTTAAAAAAATGACCGAATACGTTTCACAGCGAGAAAAAAAATAAAAGGCAAGATAGAATTTTCTAGACATAAAGAAGTTGTTTACCGAGTTTTAGCTCTTATCTCTAACAAAAAATTAATTTTTAAAAAAATGACGAATACGTTTCACAGCGAGAAAAAAATAAAAGGCAAGATAGAATTTTCTAGACATAAAGAAGTTGTTTACCGAGTTTTAGCTCTTATCTCTAACAAAAAATTAATTTTTAAAAAAATGACCGAATACGTTTCACAGCGAGAAAAAAATAAAAGGCAAGATAGAATTTTCTAGACATAAGAAGTTGTTTACCGAGTTTTAGCTCTTATCTCTAACAAAAAATTAATTTTAAAAAAAAGACCGAATACGTTTCACAGCGAGAAAAAAATAAAAGGCAAGATAGAATTTTCTAGACATAAAGAAGTTGTTTACCGAGTTTTAGCTCTTATCTCTAACAAAAAATTAATTTTTAAAAAAATGACCGAATACGTTTCACAGCGAGAAAAAAATAAAAGGCAAGATAGAATTTTCTAGACATAAAGAAGTTGTTTACGAGTTTTAGCTCTTATCTCTAACAAAAAATTAATTTTTAAAAAAATGACGAATACGTTTCACAGCGAGAAAAAAATAAAACTGTACACTGATTTTAATTTTCATTTCCAGTCACTTTACTTATTATTTTTTCTTTTTTTCATTTTAATTATAAATTATTTAATAATACGTTTATTTACGTTACCATTTTCTTTATTCTTTTGAATTCCATACTAGACACTTATAGAATATTTTGATTGTTAATGTACTTCATTAGAATGAATCCTTACAAAGGGTATGTCGATCGAATTTACCTAATTGGTATTTCCAATCAGATTGAAGAAGGTAAAATGACATGGGAAGAAGCTTGCACCCATGTTCCCATCGCCCCAACCCTTCAATCAAATGATTTCAAATATTTAGATGTTTCAAAATCTTTTTTACAAAATCAATTTAGCTTACAGAATATCCCATTGCCTAAAGGCAAGAAAGGTCGTAGGGTCAATCCCTCCGACCAAATCAAAGCTCTTGCTGTGATACATGACCACTGGGCCTTTCCTGTGGTCAAACAAAACAATGGAAACGTTTGAAATTACAACAAATTGATGTATCTTATAGAGAAGTACGCAGATACTTCAAAGAAAATCATTTCACCAAGACGCGATTAGAGCATGCCGGCCAGAAACAGCAGTAAGATATTGGGCGCTTTCACCAATCTTATCTGGCACGCAGATGTTCATTATTTTAGGGGTGTTCGTGGCCAGTATATTTATGGCATAATCGACAATTTTAGCCGCAAAGTCCTAGCGTTATACAAATACCAGATATGCTGGCAGCGACGACAGCGAACGTTGCGGCTTCCGCCTTCATTGAATTTGGCGCCCCTTATTGTTTCTGGACCGACAACGGTTCAGAAAATAGGGGCGCCTTTCAAGATCTACTTGATCTTTGGGGCGTCCAATGGCGGCATACAGACTCTCATTCTCCCTACCAAAATGGGAAGATTGAGAGATTCTGGCCGACATTGGAGCGCTGCCAAAGCATTCAGGCTATTCCTGCCTTTATTTGGGAGTACAATAATAACACACCGCATGAAGATCTCCCAATTAATTCATTAACTGGAACAAATTACACGCCAAATCAAATGTATCAGCTGAAACCGAAATACACAAATGCAGATACAGAAAGGTTGTGGCAAAATATGGGATACAGATACAGGCATGACCGCTGTTGACACATTCACAGCGTAATAATAAACATAATTTTTTAATTTCATTTTTAACAAGTTTTTTAATGTATGTAATGAATAATTCATTAGAATATGATAATGCACATTGTAACAGAATGAACAATCACCAAATTTTTTTTGAAATTAAAAAATAAAAGTAAAAAGTATAAAGTAATCTAACCAAAAAAGATATTTAAAAGAATTTTGGAAAAAACAGAATAAGGATAATGATATTATTTTAGATACACAATCATGTACTGAAGAATAATCCGGTAAAATGATGATATAAAATTAGATTATTTTACAAGTAGCTAAAGAATAAAACTATAATATAAAATAAATGAAGTTTTAATGAAACAATAAAGGGTAAATAAATAATAAAAATTTTTATTTTATATCAGTATTGAGAAGAAGTAACAGCTGAAACTTGGTAGACAACTTCTTTATGTCTAGAAAATTCTATCTTGCCTTTTATTTTTTTCTCGCTGTGAAACGTATTCGGTCATTTTTTTAAAAATTAATTTTTTGTTAGAGATAAGAGCTAAAACTCGGTAAAAACTTCTTTATGTCTAGAAAATTCTATCTTGCCTTTTATTTTTTTCTCGCTGTGAAACGTATTCGGTCATTTTTTTAAAAATTAATTTTTTGTTAGAGATAAGAGCTAAAACTCGGTAAACAACTTCTTTATGTCTAGAAAATTCTATCTTGCCTTTTATTTTTTTCTCGCTGTGAAACGTATTCGGTCATTTTTTTAAAAATTAATTTTTTGTTAGAGATAAGAGCTAAAACTCGGTAAACAACTTCTTTATGTCTAGAAAATTCTATCTTGCCTTTTATTTTTTTCTCGCTGTGAAACGTATTCGGTCATTTTTTAAAAATTAATTTTTTGTTAGAGATAAGAGCTAAAACTCGGTAAACAACTTCTTTATGTCTAGAAAATTCTATCTTGCCTTTTATTTTTTTCTCTGCTGTGAAACGTATTCGGTCATTTTTTTAAAAATTAATTTTTTGTTAGAGATAAGAGCTAAAACTCGGTAAACAACTTCTTTATGTCTAGAAAATTCTATCTTGCCTTTTATTTTTTTCTCGCTGTGAAACGTATTCGGTCATTTTTTTAAAAATTAATTTTTTGTTAGAGATAAGAGCTAAAACTCGGTAAACAACTTCTTTATGTCTAGAAAATTCTATCTTGCCTTTTATTTTTTTCTCGCTGTGAAACGTATTCGGTCATTTTTTTAAAAATTAATTTTTTGTTAGAGATAAGAGCTAAAACTCGGTAAACAACTTCTTTATGTCTAGAAAATTCTATCTTGCCTTTTATTTTTTTCTCGCTGTGAAACGTATTCGGTCATTTTTTTAAAAATTAATTTTTTGTTAGAGATAAGAGCTAAAACTCGGTAAACAACTTCTTTATGTCTAGAAAATTCTATCTTGCCTTTTATTTTTTTCTCGCTGTGAAACGTATTCGGTCTTTTTTTTAAAAATTAATTTTTTGTTAGAGATAAGAGCTAAAACTCGGTAAACAACTTCTTTATGTCTAGAAAATTCTATCTTGCCTTTTATTTTTTTCTCGCTGTGAAACGTATTCGGTCTTTTTTTTAAAAATTAATTTTTTGTTAGAGATAAGAGCTAAAACTCGGTAAACAACTTCTTTATGTCTAGAAAATTCTATCTTGCCTTTTATTTTTTTCTCGCTGTGAAACGTATTCGGTCATTTTTTTAAAAATTAATTTTTTGTTAGAGATAAGAGCTAAAACTCGGTAAACAACTTCTTTATGTCTAGAAAATTCTATCTTGCCTTTTATTTTTTTCTCGCTGTGAAACGTATTCGGTCATTTTTTTAAAAATTAATTTTTTGTTAGAGATAAGAGCTAAAACTCGGTAAACAACTTCTTTATGTCTAGAAAATTCTATCTTGCCTTTATTTTTTTCTCGCTGTGAAACGTATTCGGTCATTTTTTTAAAAATTAATTTTTGTTAGAGATAAGAGCTAAAACTCGGTAAACAACTTCTTTATGTCTAGAAATTCTATCTTGCCTTTTATTTTTTTCTCGCTGTGAAACGTATTCGGTCATTTTTTTAAAATTAATTTTTTGTTAGAGATAAGAGCTAAAACTCGGTAAACAACTTCTTTATGTCTAGAAAATTCTATCTTGCCTTTTATTTTTTTCTCGCTGTGAAACGTATTCGGTCATTTTTTTAAAAATTAATTTTTTGTTAGAGATAAGAGCTAAAACTCGGTAAACAACTTCTTTATGTCTAGAAAATTCTATCTTGCCTTTTATTTTTTTCTCGCTGTGAAACGTATTCGGTCTTTTTTTTAAAAATTAATTTTTTGTTAGAGATAAGAGCTAAAACTCGGTAAACAACTTCTTTATGTCTAGAAAATTCTATCTTGCCTTTTATTTTTTTCTCGCTGTGAAACGTATTCGGTCTTTTTTTTAAAAATTAATTTTTTGTTAGAGATAAGAGCTAAAACTCGGTAAACAACTTCTTTATGTCTAGAAAATTCTATCTTGCCTTTTATTTTTTTCTCGCTGTGAAACGTATTCGGTCATTTTTTTAAAAATTAATTTTTTGTTAGAGATAAGAGCTAAAACTCGGTAAACAACTTCTTTATGTCTAGAAAATTCTATCTTGCCTTTTATTTTTTTCTCGCTGTGAAACGTATTCGGTCATTTTTTTAAAAATTAATTTTTTGTTAGAGATAAGAGCTAAAACTCGGTAAACAACTTCTTTATGTCTAGAAAATTCTATCTTGCCTTTTATTTTTTTCTCGCTGTGAAACGTATTCGGTCATTTTTTTAAAAATTAATTTTTTGTTAGAGATAAGAGCTAAAACTTTGCAGACAACTCCCCATGTCTAGCAAATTTAACATTCGTCTCCCATTTTTATATATTTGGTTTAGAATGTTCGAAAATGCGTAATATGGTCATGAATATTAATTGAAAAGAACCTTGAATTAATTCAATCTGATCTCACAAAATATTTTAAATTACAAACTTTGTAGTTTGAATAGATAATTAGTATTAAACTCAAATAACTGGTTTATTTTTGAATAAAAATTATTTGAATTCATTCAATTTTGTGAATTTTCCTTCAAAAATCAAGTTTAAATATCTTATTTGCCATATAATTATAAATACAATGAAACATATTCGAAATTGAAAAGAATGACTTTTTCTGTTCTTTCAATCATTCAATTTGAATTTTGCAATATTGGATTTCTCATTAAATAGCTATTAAAAACAACAAGCAATTTAACTTACATTCAAATTTATTTGTGTTATATTCAATCTTCTCAAAACTTATAATTTTCGGCTATAGCATGATTATATGCTATATAATATAATAAACCTATAATAGTATCATTCTTTCAATTATTTGAAGAGAAAACCGAAAAAATCTATTTTCGGTCTATAACAATTGACATCCTTACTCACCACTTTCAAGTTTTTCATACATATATCTTACCCATTCATTTGGAATACGAGGTCTCGAGTTTTCGTTCATTTTTTTTACTTTACAAAACTGTTTATTTTTCAGAATTTTTAAATTTGAAAAAATCCATTCTATATCAGATAAATAATATATTATTTTTCAATCAAAATATTTTGATTATCATCTCAAAAGTGTTCTCAAAACCTAGTTTTTCTTATTTTGGATAATCTTAATATTTATATTATTATAAACTAATTCAACACCATATGTTTTTGTATACTTTTACAAAAAAATTGATAGATTTGTGATACTTCCCCCGACGATAGAATTGAATAGCTTACATTTTGACAGAACTTAATATGGAACAAATGAAAGAATTGATTTAAAGTTTTTTATATTAAATAGTTGGACAAACAAAAAAAATATTTAATTGTAGATCTGGAATCCGTTGCCAGACTTGTGGAAATTCTTTGTCTTGATTTCACCAGGAACGAAAATGTACAACATTCCATTAGTTTCGATCAAGTCAAACAATTCGTCGTCATCTTTTGGAGACTTGTGTTTGTTCGAAGTATCATTTGTGTATCCGAATCTCGCCTTCTCTGGATCAGCAGAACTCTGTTCCAAGAGTCTCTTCTTTGTTTCTGGGAACTTCTCTCCTTTTATCAGAGTGAATATAAACGGAATTCCTGTAGTGTTATTCCTTGGATTACTTGGTAAAGTGGAAAGTGTAACTCTGACGGTTTTGGCCGGAGGAAGTTGGTCGGATGGAATTTTTTCGATTCTGAATTTCTTTGTGAGCATGTTTTCGAGTTTTGAGTCATCAGGAACTACTTTTACGATGCGGCAGCCTTCCAACATTAACATTCTCCATCCACTCTTGTTACCGATTATGTTCTTCTTGATAAGTTTCGTAAATACATCTCCTGCTGTGAAATCTTTCGGCATAAGAAGGACTGGTGACTTTATTCCGGTATCTGTGATGATGTCTGGTTGGAAGAAAAGCTGTGTTTCGATTTCCGATTGAGAAATTCCTGGATGAATTAAATAAAATACATCTGTACTGGAAATAAGCTGTCTAATGTTGGCATTCGTGCTGCATGAGATTGGTACTTCACTGGCACTGCCGTTTTCGGACCTAAATAGTAAGACAGCTTTGTCATTTGGTATTTTGAGAATAGATCTAATGGATTTGATCATTGTAGAGATATGGCCTTTAGCGGATATCGTTAACTTGAAGTTATGTTCGTGGTTCGTAACATTAGTAAGCGAGAAAGTCAAAGGATCTTCTAATCCGGCCAAGAAAACGTCAACTGTGCTATTTCTGAGCTCAGGAACTACATCAATTGATCTGTATGTATTTCCTGGTTTGAATTCTTGGCATGTTATTGACTTTGGAGCTGATTTCTTTTCGGCATGTTGGAATAAAATCAAACCTGGTGCATTTATTGTAGATTCGAGGTCGAGTTTGGAAGCACTGCATCCTCTTACTTTGAATGCAAGTAATTTGATGGTCTTTGCTGTTGCAGAAACTTTGGAAATGAAATTACAAACTTTTGTTCCTTGTTCTACAACAGAAGTAAACAAATAACTGACGGCCTGGTTCTGTGATGGATCGTAAAAGCCTACGACAACTGGAATTGTTCCTTTGTCTGTTGTTGATGAAACAAATAATTTCGAAGATTTCGAAAATTGCTTCTGTACATCTTGAGACAATTGGATCGGGCTTTCAGGAATTCCATAGATATCGACCGTAAAAAGCTGTATTGGTTGTTTGATGTTAGTTAATGCAGAAAGAGATGAAAGACAGTCCTTTACCTTGTAGCCTTTCAAAGGAACAGTTAGTACTGGATACTCTACGGCCTTTCCGGCGAGTTCTTCTGCTAATAAAATATCAGAATGAACTTCAATATTCGTTTCAGGCGATTTCCATGTATGCTCCTTGATATATTCGTCAAGGTATTTATGGAGATGGTCCGGAATCTCCGAATCAAGGACGGCTGTCATCAAATCTTTTTGAGATCTTCGAACATAAGTAACGAAATAAGCGCTACCGTAAGTATTTTCACCGCCAAATGTGGTCCGAACAGTGCTTTCCGGTACCTTAGTGACCTCATCGTCGTTGAAAAGATACCAATTTCCTTCAATCTTCATCATGGCTTCATAATGGCCAGCGTTGGCGAATCCTATGTGAATAAGAACACCGAATAAGTCATAAACAGTGTCTTTGTCCTCACTTTCCGGATCCATAAATTCTTTCATATCCAATTCATCGGGAAATTCGAATCTGTCGTTGACTTTGATCATTCCATTACCCATAGGATTGTATTCGAACCTTTGGAGAAGGAAATGAAGTACATTTGGCAGTTGCCAGAACTTTGTTGTTTTAATTGCCTGAGAAACACCTTTATTTTCAACTTTGTATTCGTCAATGACTTCAGCTTTGGTGTATTCACGTATTGCTTGTACTAAATCTCTGTTATTACGAACAACTAACTCGATATCGTAAAATTCTTCTTTATGATCATCTTTGTAATCGAATTTTTCAACGAAAAGTTTGTTGGTTGTCTTTCCTCTGAAGATATTTGCAAATGCATCCTTTTTATCTGTCTTTTTCAGCTTTTTTTCGAGATTATCAACCAAAACTCTCAAAAACTCTTGTACATCGTGCTGACTGAACTGGTCAGTGATTCCCCAGCCAAAGGAGGTCGTAAGTTCTTGCGTACTTGGCGTTAAAGGTGACATTTGCATCAAAGTAAATAATCTTTGCAAAGAATAGGCAATAGACGTCTTAACATCTTCTGTACCGTCTGTAGGCATGTCGTATACGGCTCTTCTGAAGGCAGGAGTGTGGAATAAGCATTGTAACATTGAATTTAAGTAACAAGTGGCTCCAAGGTTCGTAAGACCTACCAAACCAACTGATTCTCGGCAGCTAATCTTCGTTGCTGGCTGTGGTGGGTCGAATTTGATTGTAATGTCGAATTTTAATTTGCCATTATTCAAATAATCATCGATTTCATTGAGGGGAATGAATTTTTCTATGCCTTGGTTGTTCAACATTGGGGAGAAAACCCAACTGCCCTCAAAAGATGCAGACTTCGGTCCAATTGTTTTGATTTGATAAGAAACTTCATGAGCGAACTTGCATTGTGGGTGCATTAGGAAGATGGACACTGATTTTCCTTTTTCAGCTCCATTGCCTTTCTTGAAAACAACCAGCTTCCAGAAATGATTGTATTCTTTGATACACGGTGAAGGTTGCTGATCAGGCATTGTCTTAAAGTCTGGTGTTTCCCATTCTGAGTGTATTGTATATGGTTCTTGTGGAATAAAGCTTTGTGTTTTGTGCAGAAATTGCATTTATGTCAAATAAGAAAATAAATAAAAGTGCCCGCTCAATTTTTTCTGAATTGAATTGTTTGATATTTTTGCTTTACTCTTGCTAATAAATATTTATGAAAGATTTTCCAACAAATTTTTATTCATTAATTTTTCCGCCTATTTACGGATTCAAATTGTGATTTTTTAATCAAATAACGTTTATTTTCCCATAATATTGAAGCCGTGAAACATAGAAAATGATGTGATGCTAATTTTCCTATCAAAATCATGAGGATGATTTCAATCCCTTTGGGAATTGCCCCTTAAAATTAAAGATTAGGAACTCTAAATTATATTGCTCTATAGCATATTTGTTCATATCCATGAGTTATGCAGCAAATTAAGTCAAATTTGTAATGAAGCCAAAGATAAATCTTGAATTTCAGGAACAATACAATGGAAAACTAGTCTTATTTTGAATAAGAAATCTATTTACAGATAAAACGAAATAAACAAAGTGATTAACGTCCGAGAAGATAAAAGTGGCGAGATTTTATAAGGATTGAATTTAATTTTTTATGGATTTTTATAAAAATTGTTTATCATATGTAATACTATGATATTGGATTTCGTCCGATAAAAAATTGAATGGAATCATAAAAATCTGATTATTTTTAATTCAAATTAAGATTTTAAAAAGTGAACTTTCTCTTTCATCATGAATTTCCATCGAGGAGGAAGTAAGCTTCACTATTTAATGGATTGCATTATCAATGCACTCATGAAAGATGACGTCAAGTCCTTCAAGGAGGAGGCTCCTGGAGGCTTTTATCTGTTATCTCCACCATCCTACATGGAAGAGATATTTCGGAACAAACCGAATTTGGTAGCATTTGCATCTTACTACGGGGCAGCTAGGTGTCTTGCATATCTCATAGAAAATGGATCAGATCTTACTAATCTTGATGAACTTGGCAGAGATGCAATTCATTTTGCATGTGCTAACAATAAAGCAGCAATTGTAGAGAAGTTATGCGAATCTTATGGTCAGCAGTACAATCAGGACAATCAATTGAACACTCCATTACATTATGCCGTTGAAAATAACTCAATCGATGCGGTTAACGTGCTTTTGAGCTATCATGTCAATGTAAACGCGCAAGATGTAGATGGAATGGCTCCATTGCACTACGTAACGAATGAGGTTATCGCTCAAAAACTTTTAGATGAAAACGCAAATATCAACAAGAGGGCAAATGATGGTGCAACCCCATTATGCATGGCTGCAAAACATGGTAATAACAAAATTGTGAAGGTATTGATGAGTAATGGCGCAAAATTACGTATCAAAACAAGAAATGGATGGACAATCTTCCATTTCAGTGCATTAAGTTGCAATGTAAAGACTACAAGACTTATCTACAAGCAATACAAGGATGTTTACGACATAGATTATTGTGGTCGATCTCCATTGCATTATTCAGCAGAATCAGGTGATGTTTTCACTACACTCTTTTTCATTAAGCATGGATGTGATCCAAATCTCCCTGATAAAGCCGGAATGACGCCTCTCCATTTTGCAGCATCGACTGGCAACCTCGCGTCAGCAAGATTGATCATTAATCAAGGTGGAAAGGTCGAAATGAAGGATAATGTCGGCCGATCTTGCCTGCACTTCGCTGCTTTATCAAATGATTCTGAGACGATTAAGTTCTTCTCAAATCTACTTCCCTCGGACGATAGAACTTTACACGGTGCCAATCCTCTTCACATTGCAGCAGAAGGCGATTGCGACAAGTCTATCAATATGTTTTCCAAGGAAAACATAGATAGTGACTCATTCTATGGAAAGACACCACTCGCTGTTGCCGCTGAACATGGTTCTGAATCAGCTGTCAAAGCATTACTTAAATTAGGTGCTTCTATAGCGACACCTGATAGATCTGGATTCACGCCAATAGACAAAGCTATAATAGGTAGTAGTGAACGCGTCGTTGAGCTTCTTTCCGACGCTGGAGCTGTTCCATCTCCAATGTGGTCAAGATCATCTTCTAGAAGCAATTCGCAGGTATGTTCTGCTATATCATCACCTATCCTTAGAAGTAGAATATCTCCTGCTATTCTTGATTTGCTTTCCCAATAAAATTTTGTTTGATATTATTTTGTTTTCAACTAGCGATATATTTTTCAATTACACATAAGCAAAAGTTGCGGTTTCAAAGCTATTTTCGATATAATATTCGGATTTATAAAAAAAAAATTATAAAAATTTCCTTTATAAAGAAATAATTTATAAACAACTCGAAATTTTTGCCAACATTAACTTATTCATAAGTCTGAATATGATAAACAAAATGGAATTTTTATAAGGTTTCATTAGAATGGATATTATCAATTAATTTTGTATTCTACAAACGATGATAGTAAGAGAATCAAACATTAATGCGAAAACACATCCGATGATAATTCGCCTTGAATTTGAAGAGCTACGTTCTTTGTAACAATAAATTTACTTCAAAATTCCATGTAATTCAATAATAACCCAATGATGTAATAGTTGTGTGATTGAGCATAGCCGCCAAGCTTTGAATTCAAGAATTTGATATTTTGAAATTTTCTAATTTTATGTTGTGATACTAATATGTCTACTGTAGAAGTTGGAAAACACCTTATTTGAAACGAAAACAAAATAATTTCAATCAAAGATTATTTTACGTTTCAATTATTTTTATTAAAATATAAATATCTTTAAAGAGATACAGTAGTATGTTAATAATATGTATTTTTCGGCTAATCGATGTAGACCTAATCGATAAACGCAATTTTGCAATTATATTGGAAATCATATAAATATCAAAGAAACTCAATTAAAAACAGAAATTATATCTTTACTGAAATCAATTTTGAATATGAAATTTTGACTGGCTACAGCCGTTACTGATTTTTAAAGAATACTTGGAACAATAATATAATAATATTTTGCAAGTTTTTCGCTTTAACGAAAAATTGTATGGTTAACCGTTTTATCGGCTGTTTCATGATTAATAATCCTTTTATCATTATTAGAAAAATGTAGATATTTTGATCGCTCAAAATTACTACTGAAAAGGAACGTAAAGTTTATAAAACTTACCTTTTCACTGAAATTTTGAATGCACTTCAATTTTTTGTGATGTATGACAAGGATACTAGTCCTCCAGCCAAAGGTGTCAAGCGGCGGAGATTATTTAGCCCAAAGGATGATAATAAGCTCAAAGAACTGCTATCAGACTCTAAGTTTATAGGATGGAAGAACGTGGCTTTATCGATGCCCGGTTTCACTCCAAAGCAGCTTCGCGATAGATGGCATAATTATTTATCACCGAAAAATTCATTCGAACCTTGGACTGATGAAGAAGACAAAATTATTGTCGAAAAAGTTTTAGAATTTGGTACAAAATGGTCTTACATATCATCATTTTTAAAAGGAAGGCCAGACAACAGCATTAAGAATAGATGGAACTCTGTTCTAAAGAATGACTACATGGAACATCCTCAAAAATATTCAAGGATTATAGCTCCAGGTCAAATTGCTCAGCCAGAAGTTAGCTCAGATTTTGCAATGAATGGATCAATTTCGCCTGGTCATCAAGTTACTCAATCCGTTAAATTAGATGAAAGATTTATCGAGCACTTCTTTGATACGATCCCAAAAAATTAGGCTCATATTAGTTGTATGTAACTGTATTAATTAGTGTGATCTATATATATTAAAATGTTTGTTTGTATTTTATCTTACCAGACACAGCTTCATTTTCTTATTTGAAGAAATGATTAGCTTATAATTAAATTCTTTCCATTTCGTCTATACATTTTACTGTAATTTCAAAGGAAATTATAGGTTATCTTTAATTTTTTTAAAAGTTATATCTATTTTAGCCTTTTTTGGAGCTTTATTGAAATACTGGCCTTATACTTTGTTTGGAATCAAAATCTGTTGACTTGGATACGCTTATCGAATCAACTGGCATAAATTTCGTCAAATACTTGAACAGGCTATTTTTAATCTTATAATTCCTCTGTGTTTAGCATTTGATCATATCAAATTTGACTTTATTTGGCGATTTAACATAAAATTTCATATTTCAAGAATGAAATTCATAAATCTTGCTAATCTCATGAGCATTTGATAAAGCATGTATCATATTATATAATTCCAATTGCTTTTTCTCATTGCGCGGTTAGTTTCTGCAATTGTATATAAATGATCTTTAAAATGGGAAAATCAAATGCCGAAAGCAATACCATTCTCTTATGAACTATTCCCATTACTGTTTTTCAATGATTTTTAAAAAAAAATTGAAAAAAAACTGAAATAAAGAAATGGATCTATAATAAAATAATCAGATTTATGCTATCTAATATTATATATGGCATATTAACATCCGTGTCGCTAAATGAACAAAAATATAATTTAAATTTCGTGCTGTTGCTTTGAATCTCATAATAAAAGCGGAACACAATCATCATTTTCTTATAATGACAACAAATATCAAATTCAATAAGATGTATATTTTATTTTCTAAGCCAAAGAATAACAATTACAATTGCAACAATTACAGCAAGAACAGCTAAGACACAGAGTACTGCAATGAGTGCATTCTTCTTTTGAGATTCTTTTGTAGCAGTTTTAGATTTTGCGAGGTTTGCAGTGGTATCCTGATGGATAGTAATGGAGGTTGATCTATCAGAAGATTCGGTCGGTGTTTTAACTTCGATTTTGATTTCTGCAGTGGTGTTGATTTCATCACTTGGAATAGAGAATGTTAGAGGGATTCTAACCAATCCATTCTTGTTCTCTGATGTAAGGCTTGTCTTCATAGCAGTATTGTAGAAGAGCGAAACAGTGAACTTTGTGTCGAAGTTTGTGTCTGGATCATTGATGACAGCTGTGAAGTTGACCTTGTCGCCTTTGTTGTATGTGGCATTAAGTTTTGGTTCGAAATCGATTGTGAGAACTGTGTTATTCTTGATTGTAATTGTGAATTTCTTTGTTCCGATCTTCTTGCCATCTGTTGCAGTAACTTTGACTTCATAATCATCGGCTTTTGTATCTTTTGGAATCTTGAATTTGAATGTCTTGAGATCTCTGTTGTTGGCAACTTCTTGCGATACAACTTCTGCATTGTTGAAGAAAACCTCTGCGGTGAGTGGTTTATCACCTGAATCTTGATCGTAAACTGTAGCCAAGAAAGAAACTTCAGAATCAGGAATGTAATAAACATACTCAGGAGGAAGAACGAATAACTTTGGTCTATAATTAGGTGGGACAACTGTTATATAAAAGTATTCTGATAAGTATGACTTAAAGAATGGAAGATAAGTATAAACTTCTAATTCGTATTTTCCTAATTGTGTTGGTGGCTCAACAAAAACATCAAAATCTTGTGACATCTTAGTCTTTGAAACGGTGAATGATCCAAGACTTCCGCTCTTCACGACTTTGTAAGAATCTGCTTCATAAATTGCGTAGTATGCTTTCGCTACCAATGTTTCTCCATAATGTGAGAAAGATCCTTTGAGGTGAATTGGTTCGGTGCTATCAACTTCCTCTGAAATAAGGGATTTATCAAGATTTAATATTGGTGGTTCATATTCTTTATCATAATACAAGTATGAGAAGGTCATACTTTCGCCTTCCTTTATGTAATTATTTAACCATGAAAATGCAAGCCAATTAATTCCTGGTTCACCATCCAATGACATTTTCAAAACTGTAAGGTTGTTTGTAAAGAATTTAGGTTGTCCATCTAAGCCAAAGTCCTGCGCATTAACACTTGTAATCCATGGATGGTTCTGTAATACCATTGTGTTGATGGATGTTTCTGTAAAATACAAACTCCATCCAAAATTGGGGATTGTATAAGCATCAACAAACTTATCTGCTTCATTGAAAACTAAAGCGGTGCAAAGATCGACTTTCTTTTCTGTGGAGCCTTTGTTAGTGATTGTTTGCTTTACAATGGCATAGCTTCCTCTATTACTATTTGTAATATCAACTTTATATTATAAATCAGATGCATCTTGGATATTTTTGATAGATCCGTCAATTCGGACCTTTGTGTAAAGATCTTTTATTAATGCGGGTTCTCCGTCAAGTGATGAATCGAAAAATTGATATTGATATTTTCCTGTGACTTCTCCTCTGAGGAACTGCGATAATGGTAACAGAAATACTGATAGCATCTTTAAAAATGAGATTTGAATTTCATCACAATTTTTGACAAATTTTATGAATTTGAATAAAACAAAATAAATTAACCAACAAACAATAAGCTCTATTTATTCAGTTCCATCAATTGATATATAAATTTATATAAAATGATTATATATTGAAAGATAGTATTGTGACAAAGTGAAAAATTAAAGGGAGATTATGACACATATTTCTGGTTACAATATTTAGGAAATGAGTTTAAATCGGAATTCAATGATGAAACGTGTTGAATTCAAATTTGAAAAAATCTCAAAATTTACAATAAAATAATGAACAACAAAGGAACAATCATAAGATGTTCCCTTCTTAAATGAATTGCTGATTTATAAAAAATAACATTGACATCAAAATTCAGAATCGATGGACTAATTATCAATTCAATTTTCTGATTATTGAAATGTATAAGATACAATGCCAACAATAAAAATAACAAAATAGATCTTATCCAGAACCAGAAAGAAATTGAATCAGTCCAATTGATTCAATGATTTTATCCTTTTACAAAATCAAATTTCATTAATGAATACGTGTATATTATTGGTTTCTGAAATGAATTATTAAGTGCATTACGAATTTTAGAGGTAAATGGTTTTTTGCCATTGCAAAATTATCCTAAAGAGGGGGGCACAAACTTGCCCAGTGAGGTGAAGTGAAAGGTGACGAGTTTATGTGTCAGAAATGTAAAGCGTCAGATTTGAAACAAAAAATGGATTAATTTATTATTATATGATAGAGAGATTTGGTAAGTTACTATCAAATTTGTAAGTAAGGAAAAAAAAGTAAGAAAGAAAAAAAAATTTTTTAAAAATAAAAAGCCACTCGCTTCGCTCGCGGTTGACAAAAAGAACAAATTCGAAAAATAATTGTATGAAATTACGAAACTAAGCCACTCGCTTCGCTCGCGGCTTAAGAAAAGAACAGATTCGAAAAAAGATTGTATGAAATTACGAAACTAAGCCACTCGCTTCGCTCGCGGCTTAAGAAAAGAACATATTTCAGATTATCGATACTAAGAATTTTTTTATTTTATTACATTTTTTTTGCATTTTTTTTAAAGCTTCTTAACTTAAATCATGGAATGTCTCAAAGACAAAAGTAGCATACAGCATGTAAAGCTAAAGAAAGATAATCATAATTAATACCTTAATTTTTAATATTACGCATTTTTAGGTGCAAAATTTAAAAACATTCTAATACAATAGAGCAGTTTCCAAAAGTAGCATACAGCATGTAAAGCTAAAGAAAGATAATCATAATTAATACCTTAATTTTTAATATTACGCATTTTTAGGTGCAAAATTTAAAAACATTCTAATACAATAGAGCAGTTTCCAAAAGTAGCATACAGCATGCAAAGCTAAAGAAAGATAATCATAATTAATACCTTTAAAGTTTAAAATCTTGATTTTTTTTAAAATCAAATATTTATAACTTTCATACATACAGCTTAAACCTTATACTTGTTTTCTCTTGTGAGAAAGCAATCTTACAAAGCTAACAATCCTAAAAAATAAAGAATTAAAATTTAATAATTTAATCTAAAATTAAAATCAAAATTAAATAAAATGAGTTCTTTGTAATAATACTTTCAAGGTAGGATATATTTTAGTGGGATCTATTGAGTCATCACTAACAGCATTGAGCAATCTATTGAGCATTGAAATACTCTCGATTTTTCTTTGTCTTTTTACATCAATTTCTGCGTTAGTTGCTTTTTCCATGATCCTAATGACACGGTCATCTGCTGGATTTTGATCAATTTTGAGTTTGATAACGAAAGATGGTATCACTTTTGTATAAATTTCTATAATAACATCATCAATTCTGAGATTTTTTCGATCAGGAAAATAGTCATGTTTGAGTGTTCTAAAATGAGCTTCGGCAATATTGTTAGTTGCGTCGCCTTCACGCCTGTCACGAGCAATCCATCTTGATATGTTGTAACGCCATTGTCTGTTAAAGTATTGAGATGCTGTTGGATCTGTGTCGAGCAACTCCAGAACTTGATCATAGGCAGCATTTGCTTCTTCCTCATGTTCTGCATCTAATTTGAAGACTAAATCCTTCATCAAATTATAGAATTGTTCAAATTTTTCTTGAGAAGAAAACTTATTTGATTTGCGAAGAATTGCACGAAGAACATGTACTCCGCACCAAAGTATTTGAGCTTGTGGAATGCTTTCTTCTATTGCTTGAGCTATCTGTGGAGCACAGTCCATGCTAATGTATTCTGGCTCAATTGTTACCCATCTGAGATAGGCGCACACGCAAACTTGAATGTTTTGATAAGTGTCTGGTTGACAAAAGAAATATAAAAAAGGGAAAATGTGAAAATCTTTGATTTTGCCAGTAAATGCATACAATGGAATGTTTGATCGCAACAATTTATAGGTGCTGTCTATATGAAATGTCTTGATACTATGCGCATAAGCTTTGCCTTCAAAAGGCGCGTAATAGAAACACATATTATTGTCTGAGACTTCAAATGCAATGAGATCATCTGGAGATTCTTCTTGTACTGTCTGAACAAAGATTTGCAATGACACAACATCGTCAGGAGAATATCTAGTTTGAAGAGCATGTATTCTCTCTGCAAATCGTTTGATTGCACGTGGTTTTTGAGCGTACATCTCTGGAATGGACGGACCTGTAAGAGGAATTTCAAGATCTTTGAATGCATTTAGCTGTGCTATCGCTCTTTGATTGTCATCTGTTTGGAAGTAATGTTCTAAATATTTGCGATAAAAGACAGACGAATATTGACTTTTGTCATTTGGGGCGGAATGATCATGTTCTTCAACTATTTTGATTAGTTTGTATTTATTTTGATCCAAGATTGCAACATTAAAATGTGCAGGACATTTTGGATATTTGCAGTGGAATGAAATCTGAGATCTTTCTTTCCTGACACGTTCACCATATCCATACTGTGCTTGTATTTCTTGTTTAACTCCAAATTTACAAAGATCCATAACAGTAAAGATAGTTTCTTCTTCTAATTCCATTTGAAATTGAAATGAAAATTAAAAATTCAGAAATTTGAATAGATTTGGTCTGTAATTAAATGAGAATAGCAGTTTGTTCGTCATTGTTTGAGGCAAGAGTATTATAGGAATATTATATGATGGTTTTGAGTTGCATATAAAGAGTGCAAAAGGATAAAGAGAGAAATTTTGTTAGATTAAATTATTAAATTTTAATTCTTTATTTTTTAGGATTGTTAGCTTTGTAAGATTGCTTTCTCACAAGAGAAAACAAGTATAAGGTTTAAGCTGTATGTATGAAAGTTATAAATATTTGATTTTAAAAAAAATCAAGATTTTAAACTTTAAAGGTATTAATTATGATTATCTTTCTTTAGCTTTGCATGCTGTATGCTACTTTTGGAAACTGCTCTATTGTATTAGAATGTTTTTAAATTTTGCACCTAAAAATGCGTAATATTAAAAATTAAGGTATTAATTATGATTATCTTTCTTTAGCTTTGCATGCTGTATGCTACTTTTGGAAACTGCTCTATTGTATTAGAATGTTTTTAAATTTTGCACCTAAAAATGCGTAATATTAAAAATTAAGGTATTAATTATGATTATCTTTCTTTAGCTTTACATGCTGTATGCTACTTTTGTCTTTGAGACATTCCATGATTTAAGTTAAGAAGCTTTAAAAAAAATGCAAAAAAAATTGAATACTTTACTGGCTGGGCAAATTTGTCGCCGCCCCTATCCTAAATTCTGTAATGAACTGCATATTAAAAAAAAAAAAAAAGTAGTGGGGCTTCCAGGCGCGTTGCGCCCTCTAGCCCTGAAGATGTTTAGTATAAATGAAGTTTTTATTCGGAAAATTGTTAGTCTTCTGGGTCGAAAACATTATATAATGTTTCACTTTTCACAAATTATATATGTTTTCATGTTTTGTCACTTTTCTGTCACTTTTCCGGTAAAAACATTTTTATTATTATATATAAATGAATTTTACAAAACCGCCGTTACCGTTCTTTGGAAATAAGAGTAGATGTAAAGATATTATATTGAGAGAACTTAAGAAACTACCGAATGGTCTAACATTTGTAGATTTGTTCGGTGGAAGTTTCTATATATCCCATTTGTGCCATATAATATTTCCAGACTCAAAGATTATATGCAATGACTTCGACAACTATATGGACCGTCTCAAACATATACCAGACACAAACAATATATTGAAAGAGTTAAAAGAAAAGATACCTATAGGTAAGATGGAACGTATACCATTAGATAACAAAAATATTGTGAGAGAGGTTTTGAAAAAAGCAGAATATATAGACTGGGATAGTATATCTGCTAGACTATTATATAGTGGTTCTATAAGAGTTCATGACATTGAAACACTTATGTCAAAAGTTTTATATCTTAACTATACAAATGTTTTCAAAGAGGACATAGAAAAATATATTGAGGGTATAGAGTTTGTGAGATGTCATTGGACAGAGTTGTATGAAAAATATAAAGACAAGGAAAATGTTTTCTTTATAGTGGACCCGCCGTTCTTTAACACATGGGATTTTCAATACCAAGTAGACTGGACTTTGAGAGACTCTTTAGAAACTTTAGACGTTATACATAACCATCCATGCTTTTACTTTACATCCGATAAAAGTGGTTTGGAAACCGTTATGAGATGGTTAGAGGACATACATGACTATGAGTTTAGATATGACAAGATAGAATATGAGAGAGGTCCTATAAACTGGAGAAAGTGTCATAATAAAGAAATTTTATTAGTAAGTAAATGTGGTTTGAAATAGGACTACTTGTTTTAGGTTTTTTCCATTGTGTCATTTATTTATTTGACGTGGCAGAAAAGTACAGAGAATATGAAGATGAACCAATGCCTGCAAATGTTCAGTATATGTACTCGTAAGAGATATTTTTATCTAATATTAAATGGACGCACAGAACTTAGCGAATGCACAGCAACCTGGACAACCAAACCCAGAGAATATTCCAAATGAAGTTAGAATACAAACTGCAATGGCAAACTATGGTCAAGTGCCAACAGATGTACAAATGCAAACTGCCATGTCAAATGACGCTGCGTTAGGTTTGCCACCATGGTATGCAAATATGAGATGGAAAGAGTTTTATACAAACCCTGAAGTGGGATATAAACAACTTTATGCAGATGACGCGAACACAGGAGTTGACCCAGAATATGTTTTCTACCAGAGGAGAAACAGAATGTATGAGCTCCAGTTAAAGAATGCTATGGAACTCAACAGGAAACGTAAGAGACTAGGCGGACATTAGATTTTTACATATAGTAAAATGGGTTTCTTCAGTAGTATTGGAAACTTCTTTCGAAATGTTGGAAGAGGTATATGGAATGGAATAAAAACCGTAGGAAGAGGAATTTGGAACGGAGTCAAAAATATTGGTAAAAGAGTAGGTCAGTTCGTTGGTATTATACCTAAAGACCCTGAACCAGAAGAACAAGCTCCTGTTATACAACAGCCTGAACCTGCACCACAGTCTAGTTGGCAACCAAATCCAACACCTCAACCGTATTAAAAAATTATATTTTTACCGTTCGATAGTAGTTGTATATGAAACTAAGTTCTAAGTAAAACGCATGGTATAATGGAATTATTCTTTTTCTTCCATCTGTAGTAAACCATACTTGAAAGTCTGAAATACTTCCACTTGGTGGTTCATATAGCTTTGTAGGTTTTTCGTAAAAGTCATTTGCCAAGCATAAGAAAGAGTTTTGCGCACCAGAAAATGAAGCATGAACAATAATAGCATCTTGGTCGAAAACATTTTCATATGTTCCATTAGGGTTTTCGACTTCATAAAAGTCTGGGTGTACTGGATATGCTGCAGGCTGATTTAACATCCTCATAAATCTATACCATGCCAAGTTGTTATATTTTGTAGAAATATAAACGTTTTCTCCAAGGTCTTCTATTTTATTGATTTTAACAGTTGCATTTTTCCTGTCATAAATAATATCGAGATGGTATTCTCCCTCGTCAATGTTATACTGGTTTGCATATTCGATATAGATATCGTTTATTTTTTCTTGAAAAGCTTGAAGAGTTGTTTCTAAGTTTACAAGCAAACTAACTTGTAAAAGTTTTCCCTGTTCAAATTTCTCATACGTACGTTTTTCTTTGTTATAGTATCGAACTTCAAAACCGACCGTAAATGGGAAACCATGTATGGCTTCTGAAATGAACTTCATTCTACGAAAGCCAATAGCTTTTGTGACAGATGGGTCTCTTAGCCATCTTAATGGGTAGTCAAAACGATAGCCTTCATGCTTTACGGTCTCTGTCTCAAACTTTTGACCGACATTAGTAAAAAGTTCATCTAATGGTTTAGTTGTAGCAACTCTAGAATTTTCTTTTTCTATTGGAAGCATATTTTATCTATAATAAAAATGTCAAATGAAACAGCGTCTATGAGAGAAATACAACACAACCGACAACTCATTATACAAGCTCTAAATAAGAACACAACAAACTTTTCAAACTATTCTAAGATATCTGAGTCATTGAAAGAAGGAAACTTAAAACTGACATTAAACCCAATGACAGATGAGTTTCTGTTTCAAGACAATAAGAACCATACTGTCTGTATAAATCCAACAAAAGGAACTTTAAACGAGAAACCTATAAATGAACTTCTTTTGAAACAGATGTTGACAACAAAGCTGACAAAGAATATGTAGACGATGCAATAGCAAAAGAAGAAGAAAGAGCTAACAATGCTTATGCAACAAAAGAACATACTCATCCTGAACTAGCAGACAAAACATATGTTGACAATAAAATGTCAAGTGAAGTGACAAGAGCTGAAAACGAATATTCTAAAAAGACTCATACACATTCTATATCTGAAATAACAGACTTAAACGTTAGCCTTGAAAATAAGGTAGATAAGGGACTTATGGCTAGTGTGTTAGTGAAGAAGGCGGATAAGGAATATGTGGATGAAAAAGATAAGAAATTATAGAAAGGGCTTGACTGGTATCATGAATGGACATCGAAGATTTTAAAAACTAAAGCTGATACAGGATGGGTTTCAGGATGTTTAGACCTTAAAGCAGATAAAACTTATGTTAACGATGAGTTAGAGAAGAAAGCAAATAAGACTCATACACATACAAGTTTTACAACTGTTGCTATAGAAAGTATTGAAGGAACGGTTGAAGAAACTGGTGGGATGCATTATATTGTAAACCTCCTAACTTTCCAAGGTTTAACATCGGATGACGACATAACGACGATGAAAAACATTAGATGTAAGAAATGTTTATGTCATGAAGGATGAACAATAATATTAAATTCACTGCTCAAGATTTATATGACAAGAAAGCAGACAAAACAGAGCTTCAACATTAAAGACAGAAATACTTCAAACATTATATCCTATAGGCTCTATTTATACGTCAATGAACTCTACCAGACCAGAAGTAGTACTTGGTTTTGGAACTTGGACTCAATAGTCGACAGGTTTTTGTATTGTGCAAACCTCTTCAAAGGAAACAGGTGGAAGTAAAACGATTTCAGGTGAAAATTTACCTGCGCACATCACTTACATAGATTTAAGTACATCTCAAGCAGGTTGGCATAAGCATATTTTGGGATTGGTCAGCAATGACAAAAAGGTAAAGGATATGATGTTAAAGACACGTTAAGTTTGCTATAAATTGTTTTACTGGAGTAACACTGAGGGAGGAGGAAACCATACACATCGCGTTTCAGGATATACGCAAACAACGGGACAAAGTAAAGAATACATGCCACCTTACATGACAGTTTACGCATGGTATAGAATTGCTTAGTCGTCATTTTCAACTTCTTTAGCATATTCGTCAGGAGTTGTTCTTATATTTGTTAGGAACTGTCTTTGAAAGTATACCACCTTGAACTTTGACAAGTTTGAAACGAGGTCTGACAATAGTAGTTTTATCTTCTGCTTGCAGTGTGTACATTTTTGCCATGTTTGCCTAAAACTTCATA